TCCCTCTGTCTCTCTTTCTCTCCCTCTCTCTCTCTCTCTCTCTGTCTCTCTCATTCTCTCTCTTCTTTCTGTGTCTTTCTCCCCCCCCTCTTTTTTTTTCTTCCCTCCCTCTTTCACTCTCACTTTCCATTGTGTTACCTGACCTGCGTAAACGTCTATCTGTCCACCCATTTCCCTCTACCACCAGTTCAAAGTAGTTTTGTAACATTCCAGCCAAAAAAAAGGGAAGTATAGTAACTATGACACTGTTAAGAATTGTATTTTATTCCCAACTGTACAGTCACCCTAGCGTCATATTGAACATGTAAAATATTTGACACGTTCTGTCGAGAAAGACATGAAAGGTCGTGTTCGGGAGGGGGGGGGGGGGTTAATAATAATTGTACCTCTACCGTAGGTACAGCCACTACCCAGAACAGACTGGGCTCCGCTGTTATGAAGATTTCCCCCTGAGGGTTTCTCAACTACAATGTCAACTGCGTAGCTAGTTCAACTCTACCATTATGAATAGATGCATTATCGCTCCAAGGCAGCTCGGTGTGGAAAATGTAAGGGTGGATCTACAGACTGGGTGCTGAGGAACCGAGAATTATGAAAGGGGGAGGCTTTTTGCAGAATAACTGTATCAAACTGCATGCCGTTTAGGATGTAACCAGAACAATTTTCGCGCAAGAGAAGTCATTACAGTGGTATGAAACCATAGATGGTGCAGGTGAACGAAAGAAGGAGACAAAAAGTGAGTGAAACTTTCGAACTTATGACTTTCAACTTTTTACCTTGACATTATATCGGAAGAAAATAAGGGGGAGGGGGCGTTTTATTGAGCGTGAAGGACAAAAAGGGCAACCCTTCCGAAGAGGAACGAGTGCAATTTTTCCGAAAAGGGTGGTCGTCACACCTGGTAATATCTGCTCCGAATGAATCTCTGGGCGACATACTCTGACATATTTTCTCACACACGTGGACATTTTGATGAAGGATTCATACACGTGATGATAGGTAGATCAGAACTTGGTTCAAATAAAACTAAAGGGAAAAGTGGGGTCAAACATGGTCTGATCGTTGACAAGCCAACCGTACACATATTCATTGTATACTATATATCGCGTTATCTGATCATGTGAAGCGAGGCAGGACAACGACACGGTAGCCGCCCCCAGATGACACCAACTCACCGGCTGTCGCAGGGAGGAGCAAAGCTGCGATGTTGGCAACTCCGCATACAAACAGGAAGCCGCAGATTGTCTTCCTCCTTCCGATACTGAGGAGAAGACGTACAGGACACAATTAATTAACCCTTTCAGTGCCGAAGCGTTTCCATTTATGTTTGTATAAGTGGTGTCGGTAGTCTAGTAGTTAGGCCACCGGACTTGTAATCGTGAAGTTGTGGATTCGGGGGTTCAAACCTCAGTCCCGACGTCGTGTCCCTGGGAAAGGCACTTTTCATGAATTTCCTCACTTCACCGACGTGGGAATCAATACCCAGCCACAGACAGCGAAAGATCGTGTCTGTGTTTTAGCGATTTAAAGTGGCAGCTTACACTGTATGCTTCTCAGGAAGTTGAGATTGTTTCAGAATGCTATCGGGTCTGCGGGGGTAATAATATTGATTGTAAACTGCATAGTTTGCTGTTGAGCGGGAATTTGCGCTGTACAACTGTTATCTAGTATTTTATTTTTTGTAAACAGAATGTACATTGAAGAAAGATTTAAACAAATCCGTATCATATTCCCCATTATTAAGAATAAGTGAGTACGTCTACACAACAGTTAAGAGATTAACCGAGAGTTTTGTTTTCGCGATTTTTGGGTCTTACTTTTGTTCCTTTGAGTCATGATTTTTTTGTTGTTAGCCAGCCCGTCTATTTATAATCATGATAATCTAATTAGAAGAAAGTGTGCTTTACCTTCTGGTATAATTTCTTTTCTTGACCACGTTTGGATGGAACGTTTCGGTTTTGTTTTCCTTGGGTTCTTTTTTTTTTTTTGGGGGGGTGGGTGTATTTTGTTTGTTTGCTTGTTTGTTTGTTTGTTTTTAAGGGGGGAGGGGGTATTGGGGAGGAAATGGTGTAAGTGTGTGTGAGTTTGATTGTTGTTGTTGTTGGGTTGTTGTTGGGTTGTTGTTGTTGTTGTTGTTGTTGTTGTTGTTTGGGGTTGTTTTTTTTTTGTTGTTGGGTTTTTTTTGGGGGGAGTAAACAATGCCACTTTCTTTATATTATTTTTTTATTTACTTGTTTACATTTTGCTGTCTTTGTCTGTTTGCTTTTCTGCACTCCATTTGCAGTCTAAGCAGTAAAGAAGAATATATAGGCGATGAGAGAAGAATAGGATTGAAGTTGGTTTCCAGCTTTCAGAAAATTATAATATCCTCCCTAGGCAGTAGTAATACTTACAATCTATTTGCAAAGAAACAGGTGATATAAGCGGGAACCTCCACTACTCCTAGCAAAAACAGATTCAGAAATCGGTTCCCATTGAGATCCGGCGATGTATACATGATTCCAATGTAGGCCAAAGCATTCACTAGACTGTGGAGTAGAAAAGATACAGAAAGATCACAAATGTTTTGTTTACTTAAGTAAATTATCGCCTCCTCCTCCTCCACATCCCCTCCCCCTTCTCCCCCCCT